GAAACCCAAGGAGGGGTCAGCAGTGAGTTTGGTTTTGGTTTAGACAGGGATGGAGTACTCAGTAAGTAAAGTGGTGAAAGATGTAAAAAACTATGTGAAATTGTTCACTACAGAATAGTAAGTAAGCACAAGTAAGCCTATGCTTACCTTGCTTATTGGGTAATCCTACACTGCCTGCTGTATCTATAAAACATGACAAAATGTTGCCCAGTTCCGTGTCATCTTCCTGACTGTAGGTATGTTTGAGTTGGAAGCAACTGAGAGGGCTTGTCTTCCAGCAGTATGTCAAACAATATTCTGTTGTGACCCTTACGATTTCCACTGGCTAATTTTTGGAAGTACATCACTAGGTCTTTTTTCCCTAAACCTCCAAAAATGAAGGCTGCCACCATTGAATTGATTCCAACTCATAGTGATCTTATAGTCCAGAATAGAACTGCCCCCAGGGTTTCCAAGGCTATAACTCTTCAGGGAAGCTGACTGCCACATCTATTTCCCACAGAGTGGCTAAAGCCTGTCCACTATGGTTGATACTCCTGGTGTTTGAAATACTGGGGGCACTGCTTCCAGCATTGTAGCAACATGCAAACCACCATAGTATGACAAGCTGACTGATGGGTGGCAACATTTCTTTAATGTAATTAAAACTCAGCTTTCAAACTAGCTAGCATAATTTGGAGGGAGGCTATGGATGGGAAAGGGTGGGTTCTCAGTTGTCTGGGAAAGATGAACATGTATAGAAAGATGTGTATACTCCCTCTCACCTGCCAGTCGCTCCCCTTACACCAACTGGAGATGTATTTAGTTCAACAAGCTTCCCCACTCAGAGACATCAAAATCCCTGGAAGAATTATTCCTATCAATCACTTGTTCCTAAATTTTAATTGCTTGGGGGCTTATCTACACATGGCTGAGTTTTTTGTTTTTCTTCACAAAAAGCTCTTTACAAAATTTTATGAAGTTAAAAGACTAATTTTAGGTAGCACAATATTTTAAAAAGAAGAAAAGGTTGGACACATATTCTCCAGTTCACCAAAGGCAACATTTGAAACATTACACGTTATTGGCCTCTCTTGTTTAGGGGGAAATAAAGCTTAGCTGAGTGGAGTCTGATATTGCAACAAAGTAAGGATAGGTGGGATATCATGAGTAGACAACCTAAAATACCAAAGAATGTCAAGAAGCATGAAACAGAAGATAGGAGACGGAAGGGCCGGGATAACACTTTGCCTGCTATGCAATTTTGCCTAGTTCAAAGCTGTCCACATTATTCCTGCTTTTGTTGTGGGACGTATGATACCCAGGCTTGTTTAGAAGGTGAAAAGTCGTAGGCTACCCCAGTCATGCCTTCTATAATCAAACAATCTTCAGTTCAGCTCAGTGGGTCTTCATTTGGTCCCTAATTCTCCCCAGATTGTCCCAACTTGATGCAAGAAAGAGAGAAAGGAATAGTAAGAAGAAAGAAGCCAAGAACTGCTTCAGGTAACAGCTAGTGATAGAAGAATAGAATTGTCATAAGACTCTCATCCCTTGTGATCTTATTATGACGACTTCAGATTCTAGAATGCAATAAATAAACACCCAGGCACTCATGTGCCTACACACACACATCTGCACACACACACACACACACAGTTCTATGATAAAACAGGACCAGCTACATAAGTTGTGGGACCCAGTGCAAAATGAGTATATGAGGGCCCAACTTCCAGTTAAATGGAGGAATAGGCAGATAAGCAGCACAGACCCTCTTCAACAAAGCAAACAACAACAACAACAACAACAACAACAAAAACCCAATTGACAGAGATACAGAAGATAATCCTGGAGCCCTGAGCTTTGAAAGGAACTATACAGAAGTGGGTTAGGCACCAACTAGTGGAAAAACCTGAACGAAAACATGAGTACAGAGATGGTTAGAGCTGCAGACTATCAGCTACTCTGACAGGACCAACAGTCTGAATATTTCCACGTGGTGTTAGGACCTGAGAATTGACCCAAAGATCAGCCCTGGTCACCACGGGCTGCAGGGACGACTGTGCTGGTGGCCTATGACTAGGAAGAGAAACAGCAAGGAGGGAGACAACCTGAGCTGTTGACTTCCCGCTGTCCAGAGGGTGTAGCCATTTTGATTGTTTACACGTGGCGGCCATTTTGGATATTTAAAGTGATCAAGCGCACAGCCATTTTGAATGTTTACAAGTGGTGGCCATTTTGGATATTTAAAGTGACCGAGGGTGCAGCCATTTTGAATCTTTACAAATGGCAACCATTTTGGATTTTAAAGTGATAGCATTCTCATTCAGATTCCAGGGACCTAAGCATAGGCTCTGTTTGCTAAGTTCGGCAGGGACATACGAGAGGCTGACAACAGGAAAGGGGACAGGTGGTAAGTGTATAAGTGCTGTCAACTAGCAAATAGAGGAGCACAGTACCCTGCTGCATAGATAAAATACAAACAAAACAAAGAAAACAAAAATCATGGGCAAGTCACTCCAACATACAATCACCAATTAAATATAAACACAAAACATCATAATGCCTCAGAGACAACAGAGCATCACAGTTCACACAAAGAAGCAAGATAAAGTAGGAGAAACAAGGGACCAGGAAACAGACCCAAAATACATCCCTGAGGAAGATCCAGCATTGGAACTCCCTGATAAGAAATTCAAAAGAATTATAGTTATGTATCTTCAATGAATTGAGAGACAGATCAAGGAAAACACAGAGAAACCCTAGAACCATTTCGAAAGACAATACAAGAATAAAATGACAAAATAAATGAAAAAGTTGAAATGATACAAAATCTACACACAGAAATCCATAAGATTAATACTAAATTGTCAGAAAAAGATAAGACATTGAATGGGCAAAGGTGCAGAACTGAATCAATGGAAGACAGAATTAGTGAGATTGAAGGCAAATACCTCAATACTTCTTTGGAAAGGGATCAATCAGAAAAAAGATCAAAACAAAATGAAGAAATCCTAAGGTTCATGTGAGATACCATCAAAAGGAATAACCTACGTGTAATAGGAATTCCAGAACAGGAAGACACAAAACCACAGAGAAAATTGTCGAAGATTTTTGGAAGAGAATTTTCCTGGCATGATGAAAGATGAGAATATATCCATTCAGGAAGTCCAACAAACCCCAAACAGGATAGACCCAAAAGAAAATCACCCAGACATATCATCATCAAACTTACCAAAACCAAAGATAAAGAAAGAATCTTGGGAGCAGCATGGGAAAAATGAAGAGTTACCTATAAGGGGCAACCAATAAGACTAAGCTCAGATTTCTCGACAAAAACCATGCAGGCAAGAAGACAATGGGATGATATATATAAAATATTGAAAGAAAAAAATTTCCAACCAAGAATTATGTACCCAGCACAATTGTCCCTCAAATATGATGGTGAAATTAGGACATTTCCAGATAAGCAGAAATTAAGAGAATTTGTTAAAACTAGACCAACTTTACAAGAGATGCTAAAGGGAACCCTTTGGACAGAGAAGCAACAACAGCCAACAACAACTGACCATTAGCACACATGATGATATAACCCAGAAAGCAACCCAACTATGGAAGTATCCAAAGTAAAGAAGCCTACAAGATTGTAAATAGGGAACCAGAGACATTAATTGACAAATGAGAACAACTACAAACCAAAAAGAAGGAAAAAACTGTGTTGTTACAGAACTTCTTGATGGTAGGGAAGTCAAGATAGAATGGACTATTCTAGACTTAGGAAGAAAACTATAAATCACAGAGTAACCTCAAAGAAAAATGATAAACCTCCACATCAAAAAAGAGGACCAGCATAAATATTCAGCAAACACTAAAACAACAGCAATGAAGGAGGTGATAACACAATTCATAAGCAAAACAAGCTCAGCATATAAAATTATATGGAACAAAGAAATCAACACCATGAAAAAGCACATAACAAAAATTACAGCAACAAATTCATATTTCCCAATTTATTACATATCTGGCAAGGGACTTATCTCTATGATTTATAGTGGAAGAGTGGATGAACAAACCATGGTACGTACACATAATGGAATGCTATGTAGCGCTAAAGAATAATGTAGGGTCTGCAAAACACCATGTAATATGAATGAAATTGGAAGACATTATGCTGAGTGACATAAGTCAATCACAGAAGAACAAATATAGTACTAGTTCGTTGTTGTGGAGGGTCAAGGAAAGGTTTATATATGGAGGGAAACTTTCTTTGTTGGTTGCCAGGGGTGGGAGAGGAGAGAAGAGAACACTGCAAAAAAAAGAAAAAAAAAATTGACCCATGTCACTTTAGTTTTGTGTATTTCACTGTACATAAATTATATTGAAATAAAGTGTGTTTTAAAAAATATGAGGGCCCTTGTCAAAAAAAAAAAAAAGAATTTTTAAACTAAGCATGGGCCTCTTCTAAGCATGAGGCCATGAACACCTACACATGACATAGAAACATGAATCTAGTCCTGGTTAAATGGTTTCAGAAATATCAGGTGAAAAAAGTTCTTTGCAGCAGGATTTCTCAGAGCTTTTTGTATGCTAATGTTCATCAAGAATTGTTGACACATATTCTGTGTAACAGTCTCTAAATATACTTGCTCGAAAGCTTCTTTTGAGTTATTCCCTCATAAGAATTATCTTGTAAGGCCAAAGTTCTGTAAAACACACGTAAAATGGAGATCTTTGCTGTGCAGGTGGATTGTGTCTGCTTTAACATCAGTTAATTAATCGAGTAGGCATTTTCTCCATTATTTGGAACAAGGTAATGAGAGGTGATTATACATGCAAATGGTAGGAATTCACTAAGTCCTTTCCTATTTGGTCTTTCACCATTTGGTTGGTCAACCCTGTGGCCTCACAGCCCAAATATTTTCTGGCAAGTGCCCTAGAGATGGTCTAACTGAAACTGTATCCCAAGGCAACTAATTTCATCCCCTTTTTCTTGTCAATTCAGAGCAAAGAACATCCTTACTTACCATTACCCAGTTCCCAAGAAATGTTGTACTTTTTGCTGGCACTGTACTTCAACAGACTCAGGGCACTAGAACTGTTCCAGGAGTTATTGGGATTACGACGCAGTGCATTTAGAGCAAATATCAGGTGGAGTCCAGAGCAATCAGCAAAGTTATAAAGTTTGTCTAGAGACCTGGCTGGGAAGAAGCAGAGAAAGGCTTGTAACTTTCAAATCAATATTCCAACAAAAGGAAAATATTAGCTACTATAAAAGCCTTTCTATGACCTTCCTCTTCATAGGGAATTAGACAGGCTTCTTAAAGGGACTGTTACCTTTCAGTTCAGGGAGCATTTCAAAGTGACTTTAGAAAGCAGCACATACATTTCCAGATAGAGGTTGTAAACTGGCAACCAATCCCAGTCCATAGTTTGTTAAAAAAAATAAAATAAAATAGTTGAATTGCTGACATTTAAGAATAAGCAGATTTTACAAATTAGCTGGATTTCTAGCCTTTCCTGAAACATCAGAAGATTTGGCACTAAACCCAAAAACCCACTGCCATCAAGTAAATTCTGACTCATAGCAGCCCTTCAGAGTAGATTTACAGAGTAGCTGTAAATCTTCACGGAAGCAGACAGTTTCATCTTTCTCCTGCAGAGCAGCTTGAATCACCAACCTTTGGGTTGGCTGCTCAGCACTTTAACCACTGTGCCACCAGGGCTACTTTGTACTGGGTCTATATTCCTCCATGACAGCATGACGGAACTAGTGTCAAAGGATAAGAGCAGGAAAGATGGCTGCCTGGTGAGTCTAGGAAAATAGCTCAGCCTAGCAACACGTCTAAGACAGTTTGCTCAAGTCTCAATTTCTAATATTTTTCAGTATGGAAATACCACCACCATATGTTTCATTGTCAAATGCCAGCAACTGTATTGACCACCACCCCATAGCCATGCCCTTCCTACATGTCTGTCACCACTCGTCTTGCCCTGGCTCTCACGTCCACTGGCATGACTTATAACACAATGTTGGTCCTGGGCTATCTGCTTCTAGATTCTCCCTGTTTTGCCAGATTCACCTTTCCCGAAATCACGATCATCAGTTTCACTCACTCCTCAAAATCTTAGTATATTTTAATATAGTCTTTTTTTCCCTTAGATTTGTGTTCCAGGGCCCTATCACTCAGCCCTAACCTCTTCCCCAACCTTGGGTCTCTCTGTTGCTCCCAGTGAATTCTGGGTTGGTGTTAGTCTGCTCTATTCATTATAGATCCCTTTGCCCAGTTCACTACCTTTGCTCTAACTATTCTCCTCACTTGGTATGCCCTAATTACTCTTTTAAATACATCACGCCTTTTTAAATGTCTTTTTAGACAGTGTTCCCCAAGGTATGCATGACATGACTTTAGGTGACTCACAGAAAAAAAAAAAAAAGTTAATTATCACATACAGAGGTTTACATTATCTTAGTATTTACTATGTAAGTCCTTAGAGCAGAGTTTCTCCAATGAGATTCCATGAAATGCAAGGGTTCCACAGATGTCACTAGGGTCTCCACAAGAGATTGGTACATAGTGACAAGGCAGTCCCATTAGCAATTTAGTTATAGGTCTTTCAGACCTGTAAAGTATGACTACGAATGTTTTGCTGACTCCATTATCAGTTTCTGAAGCAGGATATGGTGGCAGGGGGTGAGGGTGGGTGGGAAGGGTGCTGCTGCCAATTTTGATTGCTTACATGTGGGAGAAAGCTTTTTCTTGTTTAAGAAGCATAAAGAATAAGAACAGAATTGGTCTCATTTCAATTAAAAACAAAAAGCAATATGAACTTGTCTCACAGTCAACCCAGAACTGAGCAATTATAAAACAAAAAACATCATTAATTTTCACATTAAAGAAATAAATTTAATTACTTAGTTTTAGTTCCAAAGTAACATTTGATATGCACTTTAGGTCTATTAAAGAGCTCATGAAGCCATCACATGTGGATAATAAATTTGTAATTATCTACTTGTGCCTGATCATGTCACTCTGTAAGAATTTTTTTCATTGTCTTATATAAAATTATATCTTGAGCTATATTTTTATTCATATTGTTTCACTTGTAGCTTTCATAGCTTTACTATTTAATATTGTCAATACATTTTCATATTGGAAATAACATTAAAGTGAATTCACAATCTTTACTTAAATCTAACAAGCTATATATTTCATTTTGGCTTAGACCACATATTTAACAAAAGACACATTATGTTTGCCTTATGAGGTTTTAAATTCAAGAAAAAGGAAAGAAGCGATTGATTTCAAGAAAGAAATTTCACCACTCATTTTTTCCTTTTTAAGATGATGGCTTAAAAAAAAAAAAAAAAAGAATGATTGCCTAAAATAGTCTTGTTATACAGAGCAAAAACATCCTATTCTTGCATTTACCGTATATACCACATAGTGTAGGAGCTCTGGTAGCATAGTGGCTAAGGCACTTGACTGCTAACCAGAAGGCTGG